CCCCCCCCGTGGGGTCACACAGGTGACACAGGTGACACACAGGTGACACTGTAGGTCACACAGGGATGCTGTAGGTGACACACAGGTGACACAGGTGACACAGGTGACACACAGGTGACACACAGGTGACACAGGTGTCACTGATGTCCCCAGGTCCGGCAGTGTGATGGAGCGCAGGGCCATCACCCCCCCCGTGGGGTCCCCCGTGGGACGTCCCCTGTACCTGCCCGCAGGTGACAAAGCCGTGCTGGCCCTGGACAAGATCGCCAAGAGAGAGTGCAAGGTGCTGGTGGTGGCACCTGTCAAGTGACACCTCTGGGGACACCTGGGGACACCTGGGGGGACATTTTGGGGACATTTGGGGACATTTGGGGACATTTGGGGACATTTTGGGACATTTTGGGACCATTTGGGGACATTTTGGGACATTTTGGGACCATTTGGGGACATTTTGGGACCTTTTGGGGACATTTGGGGACATTTTGGGACCATTTGAGGACATTTGGGGACATTTTGGGGACATTTTGGGGACATTTTGGGACATTTTGGGACCATTTGGGGACATTTGGGGACATTTTGGGACCTTTTGGGGACATTTGGGGACCATTTGGGGACATTTGGGGACATTTTGGGACCTTTTGGGGACATTTGGGGACCATTTGGGGACATTTTGGGACCTTTTGGGGACATTTTGGGGACATTTTGGGGACATTTTGGGGACATTTTGGGACATTTTGGGGACATTTGGGGACATTTTGGAAGTGTCCCCCGAGCCAAACGGGGGGGGAGGGGCCTGCGGTGCCACCCCCGGGTTGGGGACATTTGGGGACATTTGGGGACAAGGGTGGCACCTCTGTCCTCGTTATTTATTGCCAATAAAGAGAGAGCTGGATGTCACCTGGTGTCACCTGGTGTCACCTGCTGTCACCTGATGTCACCTGGATGTCACCTGGATGTCCCCAAGGGGTCCTGGATGTCCCCAAGGAGGTCGTGGATGCCACCAGGGGTGCCCTGGATGTCACCTGGATGTCCCCAAGGTGTCCTGGATGTCCCCTGGGTGTCCCCTCGATGTCCCCAAGGGGTTCTGGATGTCACCTGATGCCACCTGGATGTCCCCAAGGAGGTCCTGGGTGTCCCCAGGGGTGGCCTGGATGTCACCTGATGCCACCAAGGAGGTCCTGGATGTCCCCAAGGTGTCCTGGGTGTCCCCTGGACGTCCCCAGGGGTGTCTGGATGTCCCCTCGATGTCCCCAAGGTGTCCTGGATGTCCCCTGGATGTCCCCAGGTGTGTCTGGATGTCCCCTGGGTGTCCCCAAGGTGTCCTGGATGTCCCCTCGATGTCCCCAGGGGTGTCTGGATGTCCCCAAGGTGTCCTGGATGTCCCCTGGATGTCCCCAGGTGTGTCTGGATGTCCCCTGGGTGTCCCCAAGGTGTCCTGGATGTCCCCTCGATGTCCCCAGGTGTGCCTGGATGTCCCCTGGGTGTCCCCAAGGTGTCCTGGATGTCCCCTCGATGTCCCCAGGGGTGTCTGGATGTCCCCAAGGTATCCTGGATGTCCCCTCGATGTCCCCAAGGTGTCCTGGATGTCCCCTGGGTGTCCCCTGGATGTCCCCTCGATGTCCCCTGGATGTCCCCTGGGTGTCCCCAGGTGTGTCTGGATGTCCCCTGGATGTCCCCAGGATGTCCCCTCGATGTCCCCTGGGTGTGTCTGGATGTCCCCTCGATGTCCCCTGGATGTCCCCTCGATGTCCCCTGGATGTCCCCTCGATGTCCCCTGGATGTCCCCAAGGTGTCCTGGGTGTCCCCTGGGTGTCCCCTGGGTGTCCCCAAGGAGGTCACAAAGCACCGCCGCTGCCCTCGGACGTCGTTTATTGTCCCCGCGCGGGGGAGGGGGGGTTTGGGGACGATTTGGGGACGATTTGGGGACATTTTTCACACGGCCACCGGCTCCTGGACGTGGTGGTGGCGCTTGACCACGAAGAGTTTCTGTCCCGAGACGGTGACGAGGAGAGAGTGCTCGCCAAACACCACTGGGGACAACGGGGACAGTGCCACCCCCGTGTCCCCAGTGCCACCCCCGGGGTCCCCAGAGCCACCCCCGAGGTCCCCGAGGCCACCCTGAGGTCCCCAGGGCCACCCCAGAGTCCCCAATGCCACCCCAGAGTCCCCAGGGCCACCTCTGGTGTCCCCAGGGCCGTCCCCAGGGCCACCCTCGGGGTCCCCAGGGCCACCCCCGAGGTCCCCAGAGCCACCCCAGTGTCCCCAATGCCACCCCAGTGTCCCCAGAGCCACCCCAGTGTCCCCAATGCCACCCCAGTGTCCCCAGTGCCACCCCAGGGCCACCCTTGGGGACCCAAGGCCTCTCCCAGTGTCCCCAAGGCCTCTCCCAGTGTCCCCAGGGCCACCCCAGTGTCCCCAGGGCCACCCTCGGGGTCCCCAGGGCCACCTCTGGTGTCCCCAAAGCCACCCCCAGGGTCCCCAGAGCCACCCCCGAGGTCCCCGAGGCCACCCTGAGGTCCCCAGGGCCACCCCAGTGTCCCCAAGGCC